TCAAAAATAAATAAATAAATAATAAATAAATAAATATACACACACACACACACACACACACACACACACACACACACATATATACATATATGCGTGTATGTGTATTAACTCTTGTAACCCTTAAAAGAGGCTGAGATAAGCATTCTCATTTTCCCCATATTGCAGTTGACAAATTGAAAGATGGAGAGCTTAACATCCAATTGGCAGAACCAAGATTCCAACACGTCACTTTGGCTGGAGAGCACGCCTCAGTCATTTTGTGACAAGAGCATGCCCATCCCCTCTGTCCCATCCCCCTGCCACAATCTATGCCAGGACCTCCGCATTTTTTAAGTAGAATGACTCTTCTTTTTTTCCTCATCTTCTACAAGGTAAAGTTCAATTCTAAGAATTGCACCTCCTGCCACCACTCTAACTTCTACATTTCAATAACATTTGTTCATTTATCTTTGATCGGGGGAACCATCTGATTCTCACCTGTGTCTTTGTATTTATTATCTCATATTACCTTGTTTACTTTTTTCTCCAGTGCCTGGGAAAATGCAAAGGATACAGTCACTTAAATCTTTGTGGAAAAGGCATGGCCTCTCCAGTTATGTCCCACTTTTTTCTCAACCCAAAGCAACGATTAGCACATAGTATGTGCTCAATACTTGTTTGCTGAATGCATAAAAAAATGCCATTTCCCTTCCCAATCCCCTACCTGGTGAACTGCTATCCATTCTTCTAAAAGCAATTAACCTCTCACTCCTGTGGGCTTCCCCTACCTTAATCTCCGCTCTATCCCAGTAAGCAATTGTTGATTAGACTACCATCTGCTTTGTACCTGAAACTTCCATCATAGAGCATATCACTCCATACTACAATTATTCTTCCCACTCAGCTGATTAAGCGCTGTTTAAGGGCTGGCTGGCACTGTATCACTTACAGCGCTCCACAACGTAAACATCTGTTGATAATTCATGTAGGCGTGTCTTCCCAGCTAGTCTGAGCTCCCCAGGCAGGGACTGTGCCTCATTCATTCCGGTAACTGCAGAGGCTAGCCTGGCTTAGGGTAAGCACCGAAAAGATGGTAAGAAGTAATATCCAAAGACGTACCGTGCAAGCTGGGAAATTTGGAATTAATTGGCAAAGACTGGGGGATAAGGGGGGGCCCAACTGCCATAGAAAAGCAGTGGATGGGCTGAATCAGTGCTTCTCACGCTCTAAGGAATCACCTTGGGGGTTTGTAAAAATGCAGATTCTTAGAAGGTCTGAGGTGGAGACTCCGCGTTTCTAAGAGACGCCCAGGTGGTACTGATGCTGCCGGTCCGCGAACCACTCTGAGAAACACTGTTCGAGACGGCTAATTTGGCTGCCAGAACACCACCGCAGCGCGGGAAGCGCGCAGCCTCCTGGGACTTGCAGTCCCGCCAAGCCTTCCAGAAAGGCCTCTTCCCGCGCGAGTGCGGAGCGCCCAGGCCTACGCACCGGCCGCAGGCTAAGGTACGGGGGAGGAGGTACCTGTTTGGGCTCGGTGACCACGGGCGGCGGCGGGGGCACCGCCTGCACGGGTCCGGCCGGCATGACTGCGACGCTGAGGGCTGCCAGTCCGCCTCAATGTCGGTGAACAGTGCAGTATGAAGACAGCCTCCCGGCTCGAACGGTACGAGAAGCCCACAAGATGGCGGCGACCGAACGCGCCGTCGCGGAGGGAGGTGAGGCTGACGGACTTCCGGGACCACCCTGTCGCCGTGGCGTACTTCCTGCCCCTCACCGAGGGCAGGGCTGCTCGAGACGCCGTTGCCGTGGGAGCGGCCCGGGCTCCGGGTTAGGGCTTTCGAGGGATCCCAGGAGCCACAGGCGCGTCGGAGGCAGTTTCGAGTCGACCAGGCACAGAAGTTGAAGCCGCGACGCTAGAGTGGTGAGATATTCTAAGTCACCCGCCAGACGGCCCTAGCAGTAGCTTTGCGGCTCCGACAGCTCCTTTACTCCACAGGCCCCTTCCCCGCTCCCTCCAACCCCACCTCCCAAGAGCCCCGCTCTCTTCCACTGGCCTCTCACTTTGGAGACCCCTCCCCGCTTAGGCCGCCTCAAAGCCCCACCTCCCTTCTCGCTTAACAGTCCTCTCACTTCTGACCCACCTCCTCCAAACCCTCCTTCCAGTCCCACACCAGTAATTCCAACAGGCCCCTTTTCCCGCGGGCTGCTTTTTCTAGGTTCCAGCCCCTGCCTTCCGTAGGCCGTCCTCTAGCCCCACTCCATCTCTTACTATGGGTGCGACCCTGCAGACCCTACATCTCGCTTCCCAGAGGCTCACCTCGAATCACACCCTCTTCTCTCCCTCTCCTGAAGTCCTCTCTTCCTTCTCTCCTTTCCTTTCTAACTCCGGAAAGCGAGTAGCCGGCTCTGAGCCAGTGCTTGGACTTCAGTTTCCTCACCGGTGAAATAAGGAAGTAAAGAAGGGATTCTCTGCCCCTCACCCCCGACATCGTTGCTGGTTTATGTAATTGTTGGGTTATTATTCATGTAGAATAATAATGATGGATAGGATGTGTTGATCATTTACCATAAGCCAGACCCCCTGCGAAACATTTTATGTATTACTTTATTTATTCTTTTTTTTTTTTTTTGAGTTGGAGTCTCAC